AGATAATCCTTCTCACACTCACTTTAGCCAAAGATTCCTCTTCAAAGGAGAGACAGGAGGATGTTGGGGAGGGGAGTTGGGAGTTTATTTACGTATGTACGCGTTTATTCATTTATTTATGTGACTTTAACTTTGTCGTCGTTGATAGCTGTCTGCTGCTGTCTAGAGTGACAGCTAAGGTGCTCAATTCCGTCGCTCTGGGAATCTTGCATCTGCTGTCATAGTGTCTGGATTTCTGAGCATTTGAAAATCACAGTGTCACATCAGGGACGGAAACCAGGCAAAATACAACAGAGGCTTGTCGCTTCTCTCCACATATCTGCGTGTGACAGATGACATACACAGTACAGCACACAGAAAAGACAGAAGCTTTGAGGTTGGCAAATGCTACCACTGTAACAGGAGCAAATCTACAGTATATGTTTCCATCAGCAGATCTCATCCCAACAGTGTAAAAAAAGTTTCCTTGATGTTTATCCCAGACAGTGCTGTTCCTTTAAGGATTTAAATTATTGCTTTGTCAAGCATCGATAGTCAGTGATTATCACATTAACTCTGTGCCCTCTGGATCAATGTCATTAATAAAAGATTACTGTTACATACACAGATTGAATTCTATGTTATTCTACAACGCTCATACTGTATATATTTATATAAGTATATATTTCTAAATTTCTCACTGAAATACAGCAGATTAGTCACAATACAAAAAGATTGATTGTGGGAATGACATTCAGCTTCAAGCGTTATTGTTGATCCTCTGAACCCAAAGTTCCAAAACTAAAATCCTGAGGAGCAAATGTAACGTGAGCGGTGGCCGAGGACTTGATTAGACCGGCATCACTCAGATCCATTTAAGACCAGCTGTAATTTCTTCTGAACAGTTTCCGCTTCCCTGGGTTCACAGACTTGAGCCCATACTAAAGAATTATTCATATAATAACCTTAACTGGAAGTGAAAGGGAACAAAAAATTGTGAATCCTGCTTGTGCACGTGTGAAGCTTGTGTCAAAAATCAACCTGCGCATGTTCACCAGGTTTCTGATTAAATTGCCCGATCAGTCCAGTCCAACTGAGGCAAGAAACCAAAAGGAGATTTGCCGTGATCAGGCACATACCAGTGACAGGCTTACATCATCACTAGGGTTGTGAATCTTACATATTATCACTATGTTACAGTGGAGTACCTCGGCCTGGAGCGGGGGGCTTTGTCTCTGTGTCAGTGTCTGTAAACCAGATTGGCTGTGTTGTATGAGAATCCTCCAGACTGGCTGGCATGTCGTCTATGAGGCCCCCCCCCCCATGTTCACTCATTGATTCTCCGCTCACATATCTAAAGATGGCAGCTCTTCCATGGCTCCTACTGTGACATGGGATGGGGGAGAGGGCTGCCAAATGGATCCAGGGATGAGCTAAGAGAAGTTTCCAAAGGAGGCTGCAGAGAGAGGGGAGAGGAGGGAGAGCATAATTAGGATTCACATGGATAAAAAATGGAGCATTGAGAGTGCAGCAAAAGTTTGTCCTAACATCTTGTCCCTTTGTAACCTCAGTGCATCGTTAAACATTCAGTGCATTCCTTTATTGTTTTCTTTATCTGTAAATGCATCATGAAATTGTTTGTCCTTTGTGCTGAGCCTTAAAAACACACTAGTCTCAAAACTCAACTATTGGGCTCAAAGCCCCTCTGAATCTTTATCAGACCCCTTACTCCTCCAGACTTACTCTGGCCGGGGTGGCCGACCTCTCACCATGTAACACACTGTAATATAATAACAATAATAATAATAATAATGTGCTTCACAAGAAAAATAATAAAATCCATGGCTAGAAGAAGGATAAATTATAATAAAAAGGTAATTCAGTTCAATTTTTTTTGAGCCACGGAGCAGGTTGTTGTGGTTGTTGTAATGAAAATAATAACTTAAATTGTACCTTGGTGTAATCAAGTATTTCAGCCTATTAATCACAATAACGTTGGGAGAGGCTAAAAGTAAATCTGACTGGCTACTGTATTCAATCACAGAACATCAACCTGCAACAACCAATAACTTAGGATGAAACTCTAACTGTATGAATAAGTAGGACAGATGCAGTGCATGGAAATTACTCCAGTGTCACTAATGCAGGTAATGAAAAAGAGGCTAAAACAATGATTTACAAGCTCTGATTAATATGCAAAGGAGAAAAAAAAGAAACATTCCAAATAAACGTGTTATGAGTTTATGTCAGACTGTAAAGATGGACGACATGAAAGCTCTTCAAAAGTGAAGCCAAATCATCTTGAAGTAAAATATCTACCTCTACCGTGTAAGTGGATGGGACATGGGCAAAACAAAAGAGTCATAGTATACGCCATGTCATTTAAGCTTATCCCACTGCTATGCTGTAATAATGGGGTGAAATACCACGATTGACAGCTGAGACTGACTCGCGATTGGACGAGCATGTGTATCAGCAGGACCTCAACACCAAGGCAAATTACTACAAAAGAGGAAGATGGCAGCATCTGAATCTGGGATATGTTAGCTTAATATTTTTACAACCGCCGGAAGTGGTGACGTGTTGTTCATCCTTACACAGTCTATAGTTGCAGACAGTACATATACAAATATAAAAATATTTTACTGTAATATACCTACAAAAATTTACACTGTGGAGAGAGCAGGTATATAAATCATATATCAAATATATGACATTACGTAAAACAGCATGTAATGAGAAGCCTTTTTTCCTAAATGTCATTATCTCTCTCTCTCTCTCTCTCTGTCTCTCTCGAAACAACAGATGTTGCCAGGTGGTTTCCCTGACAACTAGCCATCCTGAATTGACACCATGTGTCAGTGGGAAAGCAGACGTTCCTCTTTCAGACTGTTGGCATTTCAGCTCTAAAGCCCTCATATGGGCTGAAGAAGACGCACCACCTGTCTCTAGACACAGACAGATGTACCGTGGCACCGGAGTGACCCCGGACCAGGAAATGACAGAGAGACAGAAGGACAGAGAGACAGAAGGACGGAGAGACATCGATATCACTAGAGGCCTTTGCAGACACAGAGGGACCCTCAGATAGAAATCACTTTAAATGAGCTCCCTGTGGAGTCGCTCACATTAAAGGGATAGTTCACCGAAAAATGAAAATACACTCATCATCTTCTCACCACTATGCCGATGAAGGGGTGAGTGAAGTGTTTGAATCCACAAAACACTTCTGGAGTCTCAGGAGTCTCAAGGTAAACTTTGTTGCAGCAGAATCCGATACAATTAAAGTAACCGGTGAATCATACTTCAGACATAATACACAGCAGAAAATAACAACGGAAGAAACACAACATGCCTCCATACTGCTTGTGTGGCTTAAAACACGGTGTAGATGATGCTGTTTTGAGTTGAATGTCGGGGCTTGCAGACACTTGGATGACACCACACGAGCAGTATGGAGGGATTTTATATTTTTTCTGTTGTTTTATTACATCTGAAGTTGTCGGTTACTTCAATTGTATTAGATTTGGCTGCAACAAAGTTTACCCCTGAAGCCCCTTAAATGTTTTGTGGACTCAAACACTTCACCCACCCCTCCATTGGAATAGTGGTGAGTAGATAATGAGTGAATTTTCATTTTTGGTGGACCATCCCTTTTAGGTGCAGCAGCGGGGCAGAGGCCGACAGGAGGAGGGGGCAGCTTGAACAGCAAACAGGAGAAATTTGAGCTGAAGAGAAATGACATGTTCCTCACTTTGCTCTGTCTGTTACACGCAGAGTTTCATTCATATTGTAACTCGGAGCTACGGTTCAGCTGGCAGGCATCACACAGAGCCCTGAACAAAGCTTTTCAAGGCTGGGCACCATCACAAGAGGGTTTCATAGCTGCTAACCAGGCTTACCAAGACAGTGTTCCAGGGCAACCAAAGTGTTGCTGACAAAAGGATGAAATTTGATTTCAAGGTTTTCTGGCAGTAAGGTTCACTTTTCAGTTGCAGGTTGGTAAAGTTCAGGCAGGTTTCAGAAAAGGTAATAGTTTGAGTTTAAAAAGACCCTTTCAAGAGACGGAAAGCTTTGAAGCTACACTTCTCCCATGTGTGCTACATCTTAGAGTCTGAAACCTGGCAGCTGCACAATTGCATTGATCAACTTTGATGACATTTTGATGTGTTGAGAAGGAAAGAAGTGCTGACAGTTTATTATAAAGATATACCAACAAACAGCGACTGAGAAGGAGGAGGGAACATCTCCTGCTGGGCTCTGATCTAAAATCTCCCTCCACAAAGCTTTCCAGATATTACAACAACCCCTGCAACCCCTGAGAGAGCTATGGCTCTGGGCTGTGGCAGACATCATCCTTACCTTTCACAGATAACACAGCCTGCTGAAAATACATCAACAATACTGTAGTGTGTAAAACGTAGAGATAAAGATTTAGCACCTTTCCCAAACATTACAGGGTTACGTTGAAGAGGGACATACAACAGACTGTGAAATAACGCAATGCAAAGTAGTGAGGGCTGAAGCAGTGGACTGGTCTATGTATACAATGCATTTGCATTTAACTTTGAAGCTCTGATTTAAATTTCTACAGTGTGGGATTTTTAACTTGACCTTTTTTTATATATAGAATTGGAATTTGTTTTAGATCCCTGACCTGAAACTTTGCCTCAGGTTTAAAGTTCAAATCATTCAATATTCAGCAGAAATGTAGTTTTTCTATGGCAAAAACTATCTGACAATATTTGGAAGACGAGGAGCACACATATAGAGCAGAGGGTGGATTATGCTGCAGGTGCGTAGCTTGTTTTGATCCTTTTTGTTCCACTATGAGACTAACTGTAGCTGTTGGAGACCATTTTATCTGACAGGAATTGAACCTCTCCACGGTCTGTGCTCAGTTGTGTTTGGTGTGACCAACTTGTTTTCTTAATCCATTTTTATGTAACTACATTTTTCTCTTTGCTCAACATTTTATACAAAAGCATGAGAAAATCATATCAAATTTGTGAAAGTTGCCTTATCCCACAGTTGTGGTTTAAGTTCATTTGGTGCCAGGAACAAACAGCATGTGATTCAGCGCTTGTGTTCATTGAACAACTGCACTCTTGTACAATTATAATATAATATATAATTATTCCACTGCTCTGCTGCTAAAATCAGTCTTTTCTGTACTGCATGTACAAAATGCTTCTGTTCATTTGATTAAAAAAGAAAATTACATCTAAATAGATGACTTTGTGGATTTCAATTACATATTAAATATGTAATGTTACCACATAAATTCAATGTAAAGGGTCACATCTAATTACGTTTTGTTAATTATGTTGAGTTAGTGTGAATAAATCAAATCACTTGAGAGAGAATGATTGAATATATTGTGTGTTTGGAAACATAACTGTAGAAGTCACCACAGTTAACTATATATTATAAATTCAATTCCACTGTTAAATATCTTGTAATTATTCTCTCTTAATTGTCAATAGAATAAATAAAAAGAAACCAAGTTGGAAGCACAACACTGATGCGTTTTCACCTCTTAACTAGATATGGGGATGTAGTGGAGAAATGGAGCAACATTAGTACTTATATATAAATAAAGATGTATAAATTCAATGATCGATCTTTTCAGGCTCTTTAGCTCCTAAATGCAGGATTCACGTGATACAATGTGCAAGTAAATACTTTTCCAATTTGTTTTTCTATGGACATATTTTGTTATTGTGTGAACAACAGCATTTTCAACAGTGATTTGCAAAAGAAGTAATGTGATTCCATGTTGAGTGTGAAATGTTATTATGGGGCTTTGAGTCTGCCGCAGACAGATTAGCCTGGTGCAGACAGTACGGCCCCACAGCCAAGGAATACATGTGTTACCATTCCTAGCTTGATTTCCCTATTTTCCAGTCTCATTTCTTCACCTCTGTGATCTGTAGATTTTATCCACAGTGCTTTTAATGCCTCTGTGGCCGGAGGTGCATGTTTCTGGGTTGTCTGTCTGTACGTCCATCTCATTATTTGGAAACTGATATCTTAGGAATGCATTAAGTAGATGCACAAATGTTCACTTGGACTCAAAGAAGAACTGATTCGATTTTGGTGGTCGAAGGTCAAAGGTTAATATGACCACACATCTGTTTCTTTTTTCTTTTTTTTTATTCACTACTTCTTTGCTATCACCATTTCACAAAGTTATAATCATCATCATAGTTGTCTGCTGTTTGCAAGTATGTATTTGGTTTTAATGTATTTATTCATTTTTAATCTGTAGCTTAAGTTTTAAATAAATAATGAAGTTTCACATCCAAAAGGTCAAAGGTCAACTTCCCTGTTGCACCATAAAGCTCGGCAAAGACATTTTACTGGCTATCATTTAACGACACATCACAGGAACAGAAGGGGGTGAAGACTGTGACCATATTTCCTGTTTGTGAACGAGATAAGTCTAGTTTTGTATCTCTGAAAGATCTCACCTCCAGTCTCAGTTCTCTGTCCTCATCTTAATTACATGTCAGTCGTTCCTTTCTCCGCTCTCTCTTTCTCCTTTTAATTCTCTCTGTATTTTATGTTATCTTTCCCAAGGAGCTGGACACTCAAAGAACTCGCTGGTTGTAAAGGTTAAAGAAATCACTGATGTGAATAATGTGAGGTTTGTGTTTAACTCTGATATCATTGATCAGATCAGAGACAATCTCACATCACATTCAAGCCTCTTTTCGAAAGTTACTGTGAGATCAATATTTAATTTTTGGTAAATCTGTTGGAGATGAGTCAGACTTGAGAGACGTTGTGTGTGTGACATAAGGCTCCAGTAAAATCACAGCAGAATTGTAAATGTATCGGGATAATTGTTCAGTGAGTGGAGCTGGGAGTGTGTGCGGAGGACGGTGAGGAAAGACGAGCATGAGGGCAAATTCTAAATGTGCATTAGCTGCTGCGTGACGAGTCTGAAGCCGTCTTTCCCACCTAACCTTTCTGTCTCGTCCTCTTTTTTTCATTTCCCCATCAACATGCTTCTCCACACACATCATCCACGATTCACAGCCAAATCCTCAGCCTCCTTTCATCCAACTCTTATCAACACATTTATCTTTTTTCAATCAACAACATTACAAAGAGTTCAAGAGTCTGCAGCCATGTCAGTGGCTCTGTGAGGATGAACACAGTGATGCTTTAAGCAAAGTGTGAACATTGCGCAGCAGGTCAATAATAACGTGCTGATGTTGTGCCTGTTTACTGTGTCAATCATAAGTGTGTTATACTGACAATAACAGCCATTAATTGAAAAGCTGACTGAAGACATCTTCTGTATTAAACCAGATCTTTGTCTTTTCCCAACATTAACCAGTTGTTACTTAAACATTACCACAGTCATGTGTTATAGTTTTTTTGGTGGAAAACAAAGTGAATATTTTAGTATTAACTTACTTTTATTATTTGTCATAAACTAAAACATTTTTCCTGGAAGATTTGGTTTCTTCCAAAATGTACTTTCTGTAGCAGTAGAGCTGTGTAAATGTTTTTTTTGTTCCAGCCCCCATGTGGACGTGCATCACCTCTGCAGTGATCTCCAACCATATCACCACCTCATCACAATTCTCATCTCTCAGCACTGGAACAGCCCGTTATCACGCCTCCAGTCCAGACACCAGGGTGTTCTACCTCCATCACCCCTGAAAACCCTGCAACCCTGTGGACCTCAGGTGTTTTATGAGGCCAACAAATTAGCCTGTCCTTGTCGCCTGTAGAGTCAGAGTCTGCTGAACTGGCAAATGACATTTGCATTGCTCATTCAACAGAAGTGTTAAAACAGGAATTTAATTATTTCTCTTTACCAGTCAATTGCGTCCCCTCTCAACTTAATACAGTATAATTCAATTCAACATGCTTCACTGCCATGAATGTCACCACACATTTTAACACTCAGAGCTAAAATGATGCGAGGGAACAAAAACAAAATAAAGTGAGTTAAAGCATCCTGGTGGGCAGAAGGATTAAGGCACGAGCCAAATAGCCTTGACATCTCTGCTTTGATTATGGCCACAAGGCATTTTGTCACATTACAACATCACCTTAACTTCACCTCTAGATGTCACTAAATTCTGCACACTGAACCTTTAAGTGTATGCCAAAAAAAAAGGGGCTGGTTGATTTGAGTTTGCATGCGCAGAATTATTATTTTTTAAATCTTTATTATAACTGAAGAGCAGCCAAATTCAGTCTTGTGTTATGTAACCGCTGCCCTTGTTCTTTCTCTGCTGTTGGATAATGACACACATGGTTCACTGTTCAGGGTTTGCATGGGGATGCTTTTCCTGGACTATATGATGTGATCTTGTGTTACTCTATGACTTCAGCTGAATTGGGAACATTTTACAGAACAACCTCTTGTTGACTCCCTCACACACACACACACACACACACACACNACACACACACACACACACACACACACACACACACACACACACACACACACACACACACACACTTGTACTTGTACTATCTTAGTGAGGATACTCATTGGCATAAGGCATTTACCCTAACCTTAACCATCACAACTACTTTCCTAACTCTAACCATTACCTTAACCTAAATCTAATTCTAACCCTCACCCTTAAACCAAGTCTTAACCCTCAAACAAGCCTTTGAAAAAGTGAGAACTGGTCAAAATGTCCTCACTGACAATAAACACTTTGAGGTCCTAAAGGTGTGTAGTAGAAAGATTTAAATGGACATTAAAACCATTTATTTTCATTGTTTGTTGTCAGGCGTGGACCTCAAAACTAGACATGCTTCGTTACAGATTGCAGCAACTGAAATGCTTCCAATGCTGCCAAACATGAGGCGGGGATCGGCAAGCAATAACAACTCAAGGCCACAACAATGACTCCAACCGCTACATCCATATAGGGTTAGCAGCATAAAGAGCTGTAAAAAAACTTTTTTTATGTGCACAGGTATCAGATCAGTACTCGGTATTGGTCAATATGCAAAGGCAGGGAAGGGAAAAATGGTATCAGAACATCTCTATCTCTATTCATATTGTTGTGAGTAGAGGAAAAATGAAGTAATAGCAGCAGCATGAATGGTCAGAGAGTGAATGTGAGCTTGTCATATTACAACAATGACTTCATTTACTTGTTTAGATATCACCGGTACATAATGAATTTTTGATGGCAAAAACAATGTTATTGTTTTGACTGAATTCTATTTTGGTCCAAAGCATTTATGCCAACAGAGATTTGACCATTTAGAGCCAATGGTTGTGCAGTTATTCTTTATTTTTGTAATAAAGGCTCTGTTCGTCAGAACACTCTGTGACAGGAGAATGGTAAAAAAACATCCAGACATGTTTTCTGCCTCTTGTTTGAGAAGTGAATTACTAGGCGGCACATTGGAAACAACTACAGCAACAAGCAAGCTGCAATTTCCCTTAAATACTGCAGATCTCCTCTTATTCTGGGGAATGAGTGCTGCCAGGATGCTGCTGCTGAATATAGGTCATGATCTTGAATAATGGAGTCCAATGGAAAATCTGTGTGAAATGGCTGGAAGGTGCTCAATGCATCTGGCTCGGAATACAAAATCCTGAAAAACTAAGGCACTCCTCATCCATCAAAAAACTTTGTGCCCCATGAGCCTTTACTAACACAATTGAGGAGTTTAAAAATATATGTGTGCATAATATATATGAGTCTATAGATCTGTATTTTTTTACATTGTGGATGACTTTTCATCCAATTCATAGGCACCTTTTTTATCCAGGTAGTTACAGGGAACATTGGCAATCCAGTTCCACACACTTACACTTTGATGCCATCGATGAAAACAGAAAACAGCCAAAACAGTCACCAGAACTGGTTTATGAGAAGCAAGTCACATCAACTGTTGAATCCAGGGCAACAGAGATTGACTGAGCCAGTTTATTGATGGCTGAATAATAAAAGTATTTACTGAAGCCCTCATTCAAAGCAGGGCAGCAAATCAACAGGACCTATCAATAAAACCACACACAGCCACAAGCAATTTCACGTGGATCTCAAACTTCATGGCTGTCGTAGCGGGTGTGCATGGCCTCAGACTGTCTCCTTCCAATTTAGCCAAACCCTACTAATCGCCTTTCACTTGTCGATTGGCTTTTCTTTCCTTCTCTCACATAAACATGTTTAGAAAGACGTTTCCTCACAGAAATGCACAGAAAACTCTCTCTCTCACACACACAGAGACACTGTCTTGATACTCACTTCTGCTCAGGAGCTGCAGGTTGCGGACCTCTTCTCTGACCTGCAGCTGGAGGACTTGTTGGAGGACCTCCTGCCTTAGCGTCTCTTGGACGATCCCCATCCTCTCAAGCTTCTCCCCGTTCAAACGCAGCAATGCCCGTCCTGCCGAGAGGAAGTGTTGAGTGGTTAGGAACAGCCACTCATCGAGAGAAATGTCCCTCTATGCACGGCATTAATATGACCATAAGAGTTGCAGTAATTAGATTAAGCCTGTGGAAATCAATCATTTAAGTCAATCAGATGGTAGAATTACACTAAACTTTAACTCCCTCCTATTCACATGTAACATATTATAATATAGCTGTGAGAAGATACAAGACATTTCAAGTGATTGTTTATCCATGGTAATTGATGGCAATTTAATTATAACGGTTCATTTCTCCATTTTTAAGTAGTTAATCACTGCATTAGTGTATTTTAAAGAATTTAACATTCACATACTACTATTAAATGCTAAACTAAAGTGACCTAAAGTTTTGCCAAATAATTAAGTTCATTTATCTAAAGACGGTGCAGTGTGACTGTATATCAAGTGTCTGTACAGACACAGATTGCTCCATAGAACCTTAAAGAAATCAGGCAACAAATATCTTCTTAAAATTATTATTTTTTCTGTCAGTGATAGACACACTGCCCTCAGATGTTACCAGGTTCCACAGCCTGCTCTCTGAGGAGTTTGTTCATGTTCCTGCAAGTTTCCTCAAAAGTCTTCAGACAAGTGCATTCCACAGGGAAAGGAGACTTCAAATTCCCATTTAGTCTGAATGTAACTTCCTCTCATATGCTGAGAATATGTCTGCAACTGTGCATTAGATATTTTCAGGTGTTGTTTTTTTGCATTAAGTTTTAACTTGTAGATGCACCATCTAATGTACATCTCGGGATGAGGTTTTTATTTTCTGGTAAGCCCGGCGGCCAGGATCACAGGTGCTGGTTGTCTGCTGTGGCTGAGCTTTACTACAGAATTTGGCAGTTAACCCCTGTGAGACACCCACATTTAACATACCATTACCCACAGTAAACAGCTTTTACAACCAAGCTGCTCTCACACAAAGCAAATATAAAAAACTTGAGACATGCATGTGTGGTGACACAGGCGCACACACGCCGGTTACCATAGGGGAGCTATGTCCTTCACCACTGCAGACAGAAGAGGAATCCATCATACCTGCAGCAGCTCCGTAAGATGTCCGTATCATAATTAGACTCATCACTCATGCAGCTCACTCTCTGTATCATTCCATTCATTCCCATTTTCTTCACTTGGACATTAGTACATCCTTCTATCTGTTGGTTCATCTCTTTATTTCCCTATATGTGCATTATGCATTTTTGTGCGGCAGAGGAACAGTCCCCCAAGTAATGCATGCTTTCATGTACTATATATACATATACACACACACACACACACACACACACACACACAAACAGAGTTGTGTTTGTTCCTTTATTCATCCACAGCAGCAGTTAATAAGCATGTCTGAGAGAGGAGAGCACAGAGAGCAAGAGATTGAGAGATGACAGAAAAGAAAAGAACAAAATAAAAAGAGGACCAGAAGAAAGTTAGTGAAAGAAGAACTGGAGTCCTTTGTCCTTTGTCCCTTTTCTGAGCCCATGAAATATAAATGTCCCTAATAGAGAGCTGGCAGACATATTTTATAAAATAGGTTGGAGGTTGTAACAGTGTGATAGACTCAGGTCTGATGTGACCATCAGTGGTTCCAGGCTAAAGTGCTCTGAAAGCATGTGTATGGAAAACATAACGGACTATAATATCACAATGCCACAACAAACTAGAATTACTGCCCTATGGTTGTATGCCTCCGCCAACCAGTGCAGTTTCAGTCTACAATTATTTTTTTCCAAATCAGTCCCTCTGAGAGTCCAAGTGACAACTGGTCAAAATTGTTATAAGTTCCCTCAATACAGACTTTAGATATCATGTCCAAGAGGCCAAAATCATTTTGTGAGGTCATCGTGACTGTGACCTTTGAAAACCCAAACGTAATCAACAAATATGTCAGTGTTAAGTGAACAGGTTATAATATAACATATTCACAATGAAAAAGAGTTCTGAGAGGTCAGAGAGACCTTAACCTTTGATTACTAGACTCTAATCAGTTCATCTTTGAGTCCAAGTGAATATTTACACCAAATTTAAAGAAATTCCCACAAGATGTTCCTGAGATGTTGGAGAAGTCCAAAAAGGTCACAGAAATGATGGATGAACACCTGAAAACATAATGCCTCTGACCACTGACTTTTTCGTCAGTGTGGTGGCATCACAATCTTTGGGTTTTTTGGGAATAATCTTTCCTCCATTAGTTTATGTGGCCAGAGTTCTCAACAGACTTCCCATGTTTTTAACTGTTCATCTCAGTTCACTGATCTGCTGACCAATGCACTCTCACAAATCAAAGCTCATGAGGCTCTGTCTGGTCCAATCCTCATTTTCTTCTTTTTATGCAACTCTAACTGTGCACAGAGTCGAACGTACCCTCTGGAGGTAAAACACATTTGATTAAAGTATTGAACGTTTGAAAAATCCGGTACTGAATCCAATCTCTTAGAGTGGCACTGAAGTAGGAGTTAAAGTTTGATTATCGTGACAGAGCAAGAGTCTGTACTTTGACCCTGTTTCTTCAATCAACAGAGATGAGGAAACTTTTATTGTTAACAAAGCTTTGTTAAAGTTGAGTGATTGATTCTTTGATGGCAGCAGACGGATTGAACATTATATCAGCAAGCAGCAATAATTATGGTTTTCCTCATCCCATGTCTTTGAGATATGAGACACTGCTCTCAGTGGAACTTGAGCACAGAACTGTGAACTAGTCCCCTTACAACCAAAGGGGCTGAATAACGAGCACAATAGCCACGTCCACTGTGGGCAGGCATAAAAAAACAGTTAGCTCTCATTATGTTTTATTGGATGTGTGTGTGTGTGTGTGTGTGTGGTACTGTAGACTGGTTAATTACTCCTCTTCAGAGTGCCCTCTTTTTCTAGCACATAGAGCTGAACAATATATTGTGTGTGAGCACAACTACCTACGGGATACACAAATAATAGTTTTTCATTTAGTTTCACTATTTTGTGCAGACACACACTCATAAACCCATTCTTCCCATCTCGGCTATAGTTTTCAAAGGTGTGTTTGCCGACAGTATGCACCAGAAAAACCACTGCTGTCAGTCTCTCTCTCTCTCTCTCTCTCTCTCTGTCTGCATGCGTGTGTTCGAGCACAGAAATGAGACAAAGCAGATGAATGGAGCTCAAATCAATTCCCTTCAGACAGACTTAATACAGGGCCTATAATAATTGCCTGCAGATAGGGAAAGTAGTGCTGTCAAAGGAGAGGAAGAAAAAAAAGGAGGCACAAAAACAAAAGCTGTTTCATTAGAGATTGCTTCTCTCAATTCGGCTTCAAAATAAACTGCTTATTAACAATGTCTGTGGGCAAATGGGAAGCAGTTCTGCCTCGGCTGGGACAATTATGTCGCTTAAAACATTGTGAAAAGCAATCCAAGAGGGAGAGAGGTAAAGACTTCCTTATAAGAGAACAACCTTTAGATTAAATCTTTGATAGGCCACCTGCTTTCCCTGAAGGCCTACATAATGTATCACCTCTCTGTCAGCTTGTATATACAGTAGCATCAAGGTTGAGTGTTTAGCCCTCCAGCAACATTCACCATATAACTCATTCCGTTTATTGCACTATGGGTAATGTATAGACTGTATATTCTCTCAATACATCTTCATTCTATCCGGCTTATTCGGCACACGAGGTATTAAATTGTGACCTGTGTCAGGATATGACCTTCGATAAAATAAATAGAATATTAATTCAAGGTGTAAATTCATTCTGCAGCCGCCGGAATGAAATTCTATCTGTAAGGCCACATCTGGAGGTGGTTTAACCTGCGCCTTTATCAGATCTCAGTCTATAAATGTACAGACCGACAGCAGATGACAGTTTATTGACTGACAGCTGAGGAGCTGAAGTCGAACCTGCTGAGCGACTATACGGCTGCAGTTTCTCATGGCAGACATAATGTAGAGAGCAATAAATAAATTAAATCAGTAGGTGTGAATGCAGTTGTGCCATTATTCAGAGAACCAATCTAAACACAGGTCACATCAATAAGACCAGGGGATATGAATAAACAGGGCCTCTGTCTCTAAATCCCATACACACCATGGCCCCCTGTCACTGTCAAGCTTTCATCTGCCACTATTGACTATTGATTAATATGTACTGTGTAAAAGATTTACTTTTATCCAAGTTAATTCTTTAAAATATGAGAAGTTGAACTCATAAGTAAGGAAACACACCCTTGTTCAATTCACTTCACAACAGGGTTTTTCTGCAGCGGCCTCACTTGATCTGATTGGAGCTTTTAGCCGGTAGTGATGTCAGATGTTTTAGATATGATTGTTGCTGTGTAATTGCTGTTCTGTAATGTGCAACTTTATTAAGTTAGCTTTCTGACTAACCTTAACATATCTCACTGTTAAACTACATTTTCGTGATCATGATTCTGTAGTTGCTGAAATTGGTTGAGAAGCAGGGGTACACCCATAGATTTTATATAACACAATGGACAGGTCGCCAGTCCACCAAAGGGTTAACATACAGAGACAACAACCATTCATTCTCACATTTACAGCTATGGCCCTGTCTAAAACTGAAAAAAGAATTATTGGACCAACCTCAAAGTGACATGCTGTGACTTTTATCAATAAGAAGAGTAAATCTAAATTACTTCACATTAGTGAAACTAAATTATAATTGACTGGCAGTCAATTTCCTGCTGACCAGCAGCAGACAGAATGATCGAAATGTAAAATATTTGTAATATAAGAGCCAATAAAAGTATGAGGAAAGATGAAAGCATGAATTAAATTTAAGAGCGAGAGACACTGAAGAAGCTGCACTGACCTCAGGCAACTTGTTTCACAGTAATGGTGCCCTTACACTGAGAGACTGAGGGAATCACTTAACTATTACTTTTGGGTCACTGGACAAAGATGATGCATACGCACACGCACGCACACACACACACACACNACACACACACACACACACACACACACACAATCCGTTTCTCCACTCCTGCTGAGATCCAACATCCTTCTGTGTTTGAAAAAGGAGACTTTGTACGGAGAACATTTCCGAACAACATAACACATTTTCCCTCTGTGTGAATTAGAGAAGACATTAATAATATGATCAGATCAGAGCTACTGTAACTGTGACGGTGGCAGGATTGTTAACCCTGAAGCCAGTGTGTATACGTGTGCCTGTGTGTATATGCAAATGTGAGTGGTGGCTAACCCCACGGCACAGAACAGCAATCTGTTCTCAGCAAGACACTGAGAAAGAAACTGCTCTACCGTGTCGTCTGTCATGGCCGTCTGAGGGTGTGTGTGAATAAATGTGTGTGTGTTATTCTCGCTTGCAAGTGGCATGCATTTGTGTGGGCTCACTTCCAAATAGAATGCATGTGTGCATGTGTGTGTGTGTTTGAGGGTGTTGTTTGAACTCGAAACACGATAACCTCCCATTTTTTCCGCAGCTGTCTCTTTCTTCACCAAAAATAGTCTGCGCTCCTTTTCTCCACCTCACATGAATGCCTTCTAAATCTCCTTTGGACAGATTTGGGTGTAAACCTGTTTCCAGTTGAAAAGGCTAAGCCCTGGAACCACAAACCTAAAAATAATACGTGCGTGAAATTTGGTAAGCCTTTTATGGCATTGCCTTGAAATGTCTTAGTCCGAAGGAGAATCACTGAAGTCAATGAACAAGGTCCTAAAGATATTAAAGGATTGTTTTTAAAGGATTCTTTCTGCGTCCGTCTTAATACTGATGTGAATCTCGGTCTCTGCTGTGAGGTGTGAGGGACAAACTGCACAGATTTTGCTCAGTTAGAAAAAACGCACTCCCACTTTTGAGGCTCGTATGAAACCTCAGCAGTCCCACTGAGCTAAATCAAGTCGATACATAGAAGTCCCCCACTGAGCTGTGACGGAGGGATACCTTCTAATGGTGCGAGTGGGTTTTGTTGACAGATTTGACTTAATGCTTAAGTGTTACAAACACAGCACAAAAATACCCACATAGAATTTGAGGATGAATTCAAATTGTATGGCAAAGCATATATCTCATATTATCTGCTCAACAAACGTTGTACATTCTCTCTGTCCGTCTTAAACACTAGTAGCCACAACCTGATCTTTCAGAATATCTCAGAGGAAATCTACAGTGTGCCATCGTGTGAAATCAGCGTGGTGTGTTGTGGACTGTACCTGTGATGGCGTGATGAGAGAAGGCCTCTACGTAGGTTAGGTAGTTGTGAGGACAGTGTTTCTTAAGCCACTTGCAGACGTCCTGCTGAGTCCACAGCACCACAGGTTTGGACAGACTGGACAGTGTCGGACTGGTGTGATACACAGTGAAGGCTTCACCCGGACGCAGCTGAAAAAACACACAAGAAGCAAAGATTATTCAGTGTGTGTCCGTGTCTGTGTGTGTGTGTAATGTCAGTGAGTGTAGGTACATGTCTGTGTATTTCAGATAATCACCTTGTAATTGCTCTGTAGCTTTTTAAAAACATACAGAATTTTAATTAATGTCAAATCTGTTGCGATGTGTTTTAATGCCGCCATAAAATCTCTTTTGGTTGTCTAATAAATCAGTGCGAGGAGTATTAGAAGGGAAAAGAATCTGAGATTTTGAGAATAATGTCATCATATTATGAGAATAAAGATGTTGAATTATGAGAATGTCTAATGGGTTCTTCTTCTTGTCCCCAATTTGTTTTCTTTATTCTCATAATAGTCTTGTAATTCTAATTATTTCTTCTTAATTACAACTTTCTTCTTATAATATTACATCATTATTGTCTAATAGTGTCCGTTACTCATACGTCATAAATCAGAAATGGAAGAGTGCATGAAATAAAGTTAAAGGCTACTACAGTATTTTGTAAGTTGGAGTGTTAAATCTCTTTTTTATTACAGATACAAGCCAAATCATTGGTAGTGTTACCTTTACCATGTAAAAAGATTAAATCTAACCCACTGTAACTGTAACAGTGAACTCAGTGTTTAGGTGTGCAGGCACAGAAGGACAAACAGGGCTCTGAGTTTTTCACCTTTCAGAGAGAATGAAGTTCCGCTGCTTCCTTTTCTCACACGTTTCATTATTTTAAATCTGTTCTACACTCGGCAACTTGTCTTGATGCTGTATTTACATTCCATTGGTTATTCCCACCAGCATGGCTGCAGACGCTGTGTCGTATTGTGTCTGGCACGGTCATATCCCAGAGGTAACTTTCCCAGACAGCAGTGTCTTCATTATGCAGTCTGCATAATATTAGTGAGACTCTTGTCATCTTTATCATTCAACTTCTCGCCTTTACTCCTCTCATCCTTCATTTCACTCTGTTCTTCTTCACACGCTTTTCCTTCGTGGCCCATCCTCTGAAGTCGAATCAATATGGATGTTAAGTTAATAAAGTCACAATTGGTTCAGATGGACAGAAGACACAACCAGTTGTCTTCTCAGCTCTCTCTCTCTCTCTGTGTTGAGCAACTTAACTCTCATATCTAATCCTTTCATTCAAGCTGTGACTGAGCCAACTCCGCAACAAAGGACTTGGCTGATTTTCAACAGAACGCTGCACTCCTGCCAAATGTTCCACATCATAACTGACTGCATTTAATGGGATTGTGTACGCTGAAATGTCGCACACACAAACACAAGATGCACGCATTATTGTGTCTTCATATCCGAAGTTATCAGCTGTTAACGACACAAAGCGTAGTTCCCAGAACACCTCCATATCTCAATATGTGATAGACGCAAAGTTCATAACTATCTTTTTTTATCTGCCAGCTGCTGTAATGAGACCTCCTCCTGTCGATTTAAGCACCAATCAGCCCCATCACGTTCTGCTCGGTCCACTCGCTAAGTGTGTTCTGCTTTGTAGGTCTTAATTGGAAACAACTCAATTTTCTCTGCCCCAGTGTGTTTCCTTATTACGCGCATGCACATACATCCTGACTCAACAGAGCGCTGAGGCCATTTTAATAACCCAAATTTACTGCTCGCCCCCGTCATTAGTTGAGATCGAGTTGGAAGGTGTGGAAACGCTTGTGGGTGAGTGAGTGTGGACAAGAGAGGGTAAGAATGGTCCTCATCTTTTGGATAACGTCTGACGGCAGTGAAGCGACAAGCCTGCTGATCTCCCCCCGATCATCTCTACTTCCCTCATATTGAAAGAGTTGAATAAATGTTGGTGTGAGTGGAGGCCCAGACAAGTGTGTTAAATTTAACAAGACAAATATATCTTTGTCTGGATTAAATCAGAGGCAAGAGGAACCAACTCTTTGCTCCCTTAGGCCGTGACCTTTGACCTGCAGAGCTGAGCCTCTTCACAGAACACCACAGGAATTGATTTGATTTTGAGCTGAGCACAAACTGTCAGCTCAACAGACTCAAATTGAAGGAGGAGTTTAACATTTTGAGAAATATGTATTTATGCGAGTAAAGACCAACTGCAGGACTCCACAGAACTCTGAAGCTGCACCATTGCTCACAAGCTGCTGCTCAAAGATCTGCTCATCTGTTTATTCAAAGTCCAGGGAAGCTTTAATCAGTACGCAGAAACCCCCTTGGTCGCTGGAATAAATGTGAGTACTGGTAAATACGTATTCGTGTGTAGTATAATTCTTAGGAGTCACCAACATAAGTATTTGCGCTGGCGTTTTATCACCATGTCTGCCAGTTTCCTCCATAATCCCAAACTAATTCAGAGTTTGTGTTAAATTCATTTATAAACAGTTTGTGGATATAATAGTTAACTTACTAGATGTGCTGGTTTGAAGCCTTAACCTCCGCCTTTAACAATACACATGCAAGGTGTGAAGATATTAAGATTTGCGAGATATACGTTTCACTGGTAGATGTTGACAAACTCACATCCTGGAAAAATACCCAAATATTCCTATAAAATATGACATCATCATACATAAAAGTGGTTTAGATAGGAATAGGAGGCTCAAGGTTATAGGATGGAACATGGTGTGGTTGTTGGTGACTGTTTCAGAGTGCTTATTTACTTAAAGTAATTATTTACCAGGAATTTACATTTTCTAGATACATAGCATGGCAGAAGTTTTCCGGAGCAGTAAGACTGAATTATTTTTGAAAGAGTCGAAGGAGATTGCTTTGAATGAAAAATTGAAATGATGCGATTGGAAATTCATATTTCAACAGGAGAGATACGAGGTAATAGGAAAACACACATGAGGTGTTCTGGTGTCCAAAGATGATACTTCTCAGCTCATCGGGAAACTTCACTCTCCTATTCATTAAATACGTTTCTCAACTCTTAGTAAAAGGAGTTTTTATTTAAGTATTCACGTGTCTTGCCTGTATGAAGGAGCTGATGTGTTGCACTTAGAGAAGAGAGCAAGAGCAGATTTCCCTGCTGCCTCTACGGCCCATGACATTAAAACAAAAATCTAAATTATCACAGTATTTAGTGAAAGACTTTTATAATAATCCAAGGATCTATTTTGAATACATACACTTCTAAAAAGATGATTTATCTTATCTTATCTTTAAAAGCAGCAGATGCATTGCATCATGATAGAAGAATGAGCTGTATTTAAAATCTATTGTGGGTAAAATAATAAAAGAAAATAGTTATGGGAGGGAATTATATCCTTGAATATTATCTGAGATTTTGAAGTTACAAGAAAAAATCTATAAAATTGCGTTTTCTTTTGTAAATGTACCGTATTGATTTACATCATCACAACACATATGCTGCTATTTGCAGAGTGAAACACCCTCTAATCAAATTACTCCTTTAAAATCAGAGTCAAGAATATAAAAAAAATACTTGATATCTTTGCTCACAATCCCATTATTATCAGAGTTTGAAGAGACATCGCCATGAAGCAACATACTGATTTGGATAAATTGGGAGCTTTGTTTATCTGGGACAACAGCACAGTGGGAATGATGCTCAGCGAGCAGCTGCTTCTCTGATGAGATTGATCCAAGCTTGCAAAGTGACACATACAGCCATGTGGTTCCTTAGAAATAACACAGTTTAATTTCCGACTTTAATCTCAAAGAATTTAAAAAAAAATTTCTTGATAATGTTTGATTTCATAATCTCTGATGTTTTGTCCTTCTAAATTTTTCGTGTAGATTTACTGTACGGTAAAGAAAGATGCCAAACACAGGATGAACAAAGAACAACAAAAAGAAAGAGAAGACGGTACACAGGGGAGTGGGGGTACTCCTTGTCTGAGTAATGGCCATCATCATCGAGAAGCCAGACAGCAGGAAAATGGAATGATATGTCCCCTTCATCCCACCTCCTCTCGTCGTCCTCCCCTGGTTCTCGTGCGGTTTTTTCTGCAGCCATCCATCAGTGTGTCTCCCCTCTGGCTAGCTCTCTTTCGTCCCTGTTCACCCTTCACTACCACTCCCCCCAAGACCTACTTCTGTCCAGCGGGAGCAGCACCCTCATTCATTATAGGGAGGAGGATGAGGGAGAGATGGACCGGAGGGGGGAGGAGAGGCACAGGCAAAGTGGAGGCTGTATGTAGAGCGGAAGTCTTAATGAGAGAATGAGGAAGAAGAGGAGGAGGACGGGCAGGAGACGTATAGAGAAAACTATAGGGAAAACAGACTGTATGGACAATATGAACGATGCATCTCCATTTCTTCCCATTATCCAGAAATACAGCCAAAATATCCGAACACGAACGCTGCCGTCTTGCACATGTGGAGCCAGAGGGAGGAGGTGGAGGGATGGAGCCATGGTAGCGAGGTCCCACCGATAAATGCATTCCACCGCTAAACTGTCAATCACGTTTCATTCTAGTTTTTATAACATCAAATAACTAACTGCAACCAAACTTACTGGAGAAATCAACATCTGCATACAGATCAGTGTTAAAACTACCTAAAACTACAGAAACCGTCTTTGAGAAATATTTATTTGACGTGCACTTTTTTGTTTGGTCCACGTATATGGTGTTTGGTCATAACACTACAGCTTCCCAAAAACGAAACCACAGTGTCTTGATCACCCCCTGGAGGCTGGCTGCAGTATAGGTCATAAATCCCACCTCCTCCATGCAAGTGGATGGGACATAGACCAAATTAATTTCAGTAGTTCTTATTACAATAGTGTTCCATGATTCTTTTCTCCAGTGAGGGCTGATGGACGATGTATCTCCACCTCCAGTGGTGACATCGTCCATCTTTACATCCCGTCTCTTTATGCTAAACTATAAGCAGCTGGCTAGCTCCAATAATGTTGTGCGGATATGAGGGGGGGGAAATGAAGCAAAGATACCTGATAAATTATGATTCATTATAACAGATGGTTATGTGTCTCTGTTCAACAGGACATGTTGTTGTGCCGTCTTGCATCCTCATATCCCATT